AATATTCCTGTCAGGGAAAACAGAGGTAGGGTGAGGGGGGCAGCAAAGTGAAGAGTGGACTGCTTCAGTAAAAGTGCTAACCTTGAATTATGCAATCGGAAAAACAGCTCTTGCCAAAATGCAACTCCGACAGAGTTCAGAGTGCCGGCAGCGTTTGCCAAATACCCCAGCCAAAAGGATGTCTCAAAGAGGGGGAGGAGKGATCTGCTGCCATATGCCCAGCATTCACAGTGTTCTGGGAGGACTGTGGAGTCCTTCAGGAATGGAGGTGTGTAAATGGTCTCAGGTGCACCCTGCCACTGGTACCGTGATCYGGTACGAGATGGGAGCGCTGAGGGCAGAGGGCAGATCTGTCAGGATGTCTTTATTTCTGAAACCTTCCAAGGTTTTGCTTCACTTTTGTGGGAGGAGTTCTGGCAAACAGGATCAGGCTGTTCTACATATGTTTTGACTCTTCTTGTTTTATGTTTCTTCTATGAAAGAGACTGCAACCAAGTTCTTGTCATTTTTAGATCAATGTTTTGTTAAACTACGACAGCTATCCATGACAGAGAGCCAACTAACTTTTGCGGCTGACCACAAAACTGAGTCTGACTTGTGGTGCTTAGTCATTTTTTATTATTTTTTTTTTACATGACACATTCCATGTGTGTATGTGTTTTTGTTCTTTTAAATATAATTAGAGCATTTCTAGGAGCTGCAGTATGAATCAATCTTCTTCGGCAGGTTAATTTCTTTGATTAATAAAGTTTTAGAAACTTCTCATCACATTGTGGCTATTAATGAAACCTCTCTGGTTGTACTTTGAACAATTGGGCTATTGTGGGATTGATTGCTCTCTGCAGTATTATCTTCTCTGGTTTGCCCATTAGAATTTTAAATGATCTAGTCAACAGAGCTCTTGATACCCCTGCAGAGACTCTCTCCTACAGTCCGATAGAAATGACCACTAGGACGTCCTTCATAAAAGGAAAATATATTTACAACWTGTCTTTCAGCCTTCTGAGGTCTGRYACAAAATTCAGAAATKCGGAATCACTTCACATTTACCAAGAGATGGCCATGTTTATTCTCCTGGAAGGACAGGAATGTTCCTTGTTGTTTGTTYCTCCTGCTTTGTGCTGTCTGATTTTTAGCAGGTCTCACAAGCGATTCTTCACACCTGTCTCCTGGGTTTGGAGCAACCTTGCCTGTTGTTCCCAGCAGCATTTGTTCCAGGCTGCAGTAGATGCCACCTGGCATTTTTCCCAGGATGAATAGCATTTCATAGCTGAAACAAAGGGATGTCCTGCTGGACCCAACWTGTTTGTACCCACCTTTATCTCTGGGCGAGGCCTCAGCCTGCTACTGCTTACACTGCTAATCCAACACAGCACAGTGGTGGCAATTCTKGGAATGTGTAATTTGCTTTTGAATTATAATAGTGATGATGAATAGATCCTGGTTTTGTATAAACTTTGTATCATTGTGGATTTCATCAGAAGTTCATATGTAGGTATCCCTGTCTGTTGCAGCTGTGGGGGAGTGTGGTTGGAACTGGTTGATCTTTAACGTCCCTCCCAACCCAAACGATTCTGTGATTCTGTGATTCTGTGATTCTGTGAGAGGAGGTTGGGATAGCAATAACAGCAGGTTGCCAGTTTATCTGGGGTTAGAGAAGAAAAAAATTTTATTTTGTTTCTTTGGAGATTCCATAAATACTTGCCCATAAACTGAAATTCGGCAGAAAAGGTAAATAGGTGTTTCCATCAAAYGAAAAGCAGTAAGTCATCAACCGAATGCTTTCAAGCAAAACAACATAGAAATTCTGCTTATCCCCCTTCAAATATTTAGTGATTGTGAAAGTGTTTCTCTCTGTGAGGACTGGGGAAAATCAGCTGCTGTGTGTTTAATGGAAAGAGTGRAGGACAGGAAATCGCAACACTGCTGACATATAGTCAGACTTTTGCATCCTGCCAGGGTGTTACTGATCTCTTTCTGCTCTCCTAATACAGTTTYGTTTGGGTTTTTGAGGGGGGCAATTGGGTTGTTTGGTTTTTTTTAATGGCTTGGCTTGGAAGGYATCTTAAAGATCATCTACCTCCAAYCTCCCTGCCATGGTCAGGGACACCYACTRGACTAGATTTCCAAGAGCCCCATAAAACCTGGCCTTGAACCCTTCCAGGAATAGGATATACACAGCTTCTCTAGGCTGTCTGATCTAGAGCCTCACCACCCTCACTGCAAGAATTTRTCCCTAAAATCCAGTGTAAAGCTCCTCTCTGTCAGTTTGAAGCCATTCCCCCTTGTTCTGTCCCTCAAGACCCTTGTAAAGAGTCTCTCTCCATCTTTCCTGTCGGTTCCCTTCAGGTACTGAAAGGCCTGAAATTCGAAAAGCCCTAAAACCTTCTCTTTTCCAGGCTGAACAATCCCAACTCTTACAGCCTTTCCTCATAGAAGTGTTGTTGCAGAGGATCAGGCAAGAGCAGGCCTTAGACTTGTTATTGCCTCTGTGTTTTTTAGACTTAAAACATTTTTGAACATTAAAACAGAAAAGTGCAGCTGGCTGCTTTGATCCTCTGTTTCAAGAACAATATCATGGAAGTTATTTTTAGCTGCCATTTTATTGTTGCTGGTTTTACAAATTTAACTAGCAAGGAGTAAATTGTCCCCATATTGAAAAGGTGGTCTCAGTAATCCTCGTGTTCCAGTTCCCCTGAGAGCCACCTCCATGCTCAGGGCTGCACGGAGCAGCCTGGGAATTACACGCTCCCCTGGCATCCCTTCATGGCTCCTCTTCCATCACACCTGGGCTCCTTCACTTCATRTGTGTACCTCAAATGCTAAACTCTGCCCCACATGGATCATGGCAGAGCATCTGTGGACTGGTTAAGTCAGGCTGTGATGAACGAGCTATACTTGGTGTGTACCTTGCAGGCAGCATTCCGGGGTATTCACTGACCTCGGTACTCAATCAGATCATGTCGGCAGAGTGTGGCTGGGAATGGAACTGCCTCCAATCCAGGAGCTGCCTTTACTGCATAAAGAAAAAGCTGTTAAGCTCGTGCCCTTTGCGCTCTCAGCTCTGTTTCTCTAAGAGGTTTATAYATGCTTCAAGAAAAGTCTGCAACAGAGTAACTACCCTCCCCCACAATATACCCAACAAGAGAAAACGTTCTTTTATATTCTAGCTTGGTGGCAGCATTTTAAAATGATTCCTGACAGGAAAATTTTTGAACTCTAGCACTATGAAGTTGATGGTAAATAGTGTGCTTTTTTCTGAGGAAAACCTGTTGACTTCCATTATATATCTGCAATCCATTTGGAAGAAATACAAAGTCAACTTATTTCTGACTTTTTGACTTCTGACAGGCTGCTTTGGAAATGAGAGCTGAGTTAAAACCAGTGGATCAAAGAGTGTGGTGAAGCTAAATGCCTGAATAGTTCAGGTGCTTATTTGAAGCTTCTCCAAGCTTTCTGGATCTGCTGTGCCTGGTAGTGTTATGGGACCCCTTTTGCTTGGGATAGGCTGAGTCTGCTGCACAAGCTTTTCCTGCAAAAACCGAGAGGATAACTCATATTGCACRCTTTCCATGGTGATGTGTCAGGGTATAGACAGAGCACCAGGGGTGTGAAAGGGATTCACAGTGAAAATGAAAGTGAGGAGTAGGGAAGTTAACCTTGTGTTCCTTAAACTCCGTGAGCAAACAAAGTTGAACAGATTAGCCTTGTTTCTAACTCTTCCTGAGAAAATCTTTGTGCAGTGACTTACATGAATTTGAACCATTCTTTGAATTGCAGATGCAGGGACATCACATTGCAGGAAATGTTTCTGTATTCACATTGTTCCTTTTTTTCTGTTTTCTTCTGTAACGAAACCCAGTGACATTATTAGGCTACATAGAATAGTTTCCATGTGAAAAATGGAAGGTTTTTTTTAATTTATTGATCTTTTACAGTCATGAGGAGTAGAATAGAGCAAGGAAACAGAAATCTTTTCTTTCAAGAAGAAGCTCAAAAGAAATTTTTTGACTGGAGCCACTTTATTATCATTCTGTATCAAGTCATTTTCTTAGCTTTGCAAAAGGCACAGTGCCTGAGATTTTGAAATGTTAGTATTGCTTCCCTGAAGGATTTATTTTTAAACGTATGATTGTCAGGAAGATAGAATGCTCATGAGCAAAAGTCATTGGGAAAACAAAAACAGTTGGAAAATGGAACACCTTTGTGTTTGTAAAGTCAAACAATTCAGGGGGAAGTGAGGTGTTTTGACGAGAACATTGGAATTAATGGCCCTGGCACGTTGTTCTGGCAGTGTCTTTAGGCACCGCTGCAGCCTGACGGATTAATTGGCAGCACACAGCAGCCTGTTGCAATCCAGGGTTCACAGTTAGTTCTGACCAGATGAATGACGGACGGGGTGTTACTAAGGTTGGGCAAAACAGTCTGGACAAGAACACAAACTGCTGCCCAAGAATCACACTTTATTCAGGCTGACCCTTTCCCAAGGCCTGAATAAGTTTGAACTGTAGGGAGGTTTTATTTTCCCTATGGGCTGCTTCCTAAAATATTGCCTTTTAAAAAAGAAACAGAGCAAAGCCATCCATGTCTCTGTGCTTTGATTGCAGGCTAGAAATAGAGTGAGACAATAAATACATTGCAAAAGAGCATGTATCATCTAAACTTCCAGGCCAGCTTTGCAGTCCCAGGGACATAGAGAGTTGAAGYATTCTTCAGATGTACAGCCAATTTTATCATGCCTAACTGGGCCAATCTTTTCAACACTATGGAGTTTGCTCATCACTAGCTAATATTCAAGTTTTGAAAAGGACTTCGTTCTAGAGTCTGTAACTTTATCTCTTCCAGAAAAAAAAAAAAAAAATTATTCTTAAATATATGGCACAGTAAACTGTTGTGAATGGTTATCTAGCTTTCCTATCAACTCCTAAGTAAAATACAAAATTTGGAGTTTAAATATTTAATTGTTTTCCTGATCCAAACCCCGTCATCTTGCCTTATAGGACAAAACAACATTGGAGACCCTGACTCAGCAGCTGGCAGTAAAACAGAGTGAAGACGGGAAATTCAGCCACGCAATGATGGATTTCAACATGAGTGGAGATTCTGACGGTCAGTGCAAATGGCTTACTCTTATTTCCAGGTTTTTCTGTGCATATCAACGYGATCTGAGGAGAATCCAAGTGCTTTGGAGACATGTGAGGAATAYGAGCTGCTAGCAATAAGCGGCTATGAAATAAGGCAGGAAGAAGTGATTCATTGTGGGGTGTCTTAAGACTGGAGATGGTTTTTAGCCTTCTCTCTGCCCACTGATGTCTCAAGATGGGAACAAAAATGTATTTCTGATAATAAAAGGGGCTAAAGGAGACAAATATATGTGGGATCACACAGGGAATCCATGAAGTGTAGACCTGATGCTCCATAAGTGTTGTGTCCTCTGCATCTGTGGGAGTTTTATTGGTTTGATGAATAATGTTCATTTGTTTCTATGCTATTGCATATATTATTAAGGAGATATAAGCACAAAAACAGTCAAGTACATAAATATTTGTTTGCTAGTTAGAGAATTGCTGAAGTAGAAACACCCAGTATGGCCATCACATCCTTTCTGTCACAGAAAAGGTAGAGGATAGGTGACATGATCAGGATTCTGTAACCAAGAAAGGAAGAAAATAAAAAGTAAACCTGCATTGATAAATATATATTTGGCTTATGTAATCAAGCAGTAAAAGATGGCTTAGAAAAGCTGTTTAATGCTTTGTATTAAAAAAAAAAAAAAATAAACTCTTTTTCAGGTCTATACTATCCGATACTGAATTAACAGAATAACTAAACAAGACAATATACAATATATTAACCATTAATCTATTGTCACTACTGACTCATTGAATGTGCAGCACCTGACCCAGGTTACTGATGGCAGAGGAAGCTGTATGCTGAAACACAAGCTGGAAATGTTTTCCTCTTGKTTTTTAGGAAGCGCAGGAGTTTCAGAGTCTCGGATTTACCGGGAATCYCGAGGGCGTGGTAGCAATGAGCCTCACATCAAGCGCCCGATGAACGCGTTCATGGTGTGGGCTAAGGATGAACGGAGGAAGATCCTTCAAGCCTTCCCTGACATGCACAACTCCAACATCAGCAAGATACTAGGTAAGAATGATAGAGCACTGCTCTTCCACAGCAGATCTTGAAAAGATTTTGACTGAGTTGAGTGCAGCGCCTGCCATAACAGAATTGCTTCTTTCTCTCTTGCTCTTTAATTAAGGACAATGATCCAAGCTTCCCCTGTGCTGTCCAGCAGTGTGCATTAACCACAGCCTGAACTGTTCTTGTGTCTTTGTGATTGTTGAGATCATGGTGGTGATTTTGCCAAGCTCAGAAGAGAGATTAAGTAGCCTATACTTCCCAGGTTTTCCTTTTTAAATATGGGGGTTRTGTTTCTCCTTTTCAAGAAAGTGGTAACATAACCAAGCTGCCACAACTCCAACAGGATGAACAGTGGCTCAGCCAGTTCATCTGTCAAATCCCTCAAGACCTGCCAGACGCATCTCAGCAGGTCCCACGGACWTGTGCACCTTCAGGTTCCCAAACCTGATCTTCTCCTACCGTGGGTGGTTCTTCATTCTTCCATAACTTGAAAAGAATCCTAAAAATTTTTAAAAACTTGATTTCCATATTCTCTACTCTTCACATCCCAAGCAATATTTGTCATGAACATGATTTACAGAATCTCATGCGATAGTCTTCCAACTTTCACTACTTGATCAGTAGTGAAATACAGTCCAATGTTACTCATCTGTAACGGGCTGGATGATACAGCAGGTGACTAATGAGGCTCACTGAAGCCAGTGAATTACTGTTCTGCAGAAAATAATATACCTGTGATAAAATTAGAGATATTGCATTTTTCTGATACAAACAGCTGCAGGACCTAAGCATCCTTCAGGCCAGTGGCTAAGCAGGGAACACATTTACCTCTGCTGCAAAACTCACTTGATTTTTCAGGCTATTCAAGAGATGTAGTGCGATTACAAGGGCAGCACTAACYAGCTGCAGGGCTGGTAAATATGCTGAGTTTAGACTGGTCAGAGGTTTGAGGTTTACCTTGATTAGAGTGGTATTATGAAAAGTTAGCAGGGGGTGAGTGGAAATGAGATAAATTGGTTGGAGAAGCGGAATGTATTGCCATGGATGGCAGATGTGATGATATTAACCCATGATTTAAAGGGTGGTACGAGATGATTAGATTAGTTATGGGAACAGGATTAGAAGGCTAAATTGTTTATGTTGATGGCAAAATAACCTTATACTGGTTAAAAGGGATTATACTGGTCAGAGGTGTATGATGTGATTAGCCGGAGGACAGGGCAGTAATAGTTTTGGTCTGTTCCTAAATTGAGAGTAGACCTGGTTAAAYCTGTTTTTAAATAATCAGCTTCAGAAATCTACAAGATCATTCTGAATGGCCCTTTTCATATAGAAAGTACAAAGAAAGCTTGATGTTTTCCCTCTTAACTGATTGTTTTGGATAACAACCTCCGACAGCACGCTGCTAATTCATTCTGCTTAAAACAGGCGCTTGAGCTGGGCTGACATTTTACGCAGTCTCTGGGGATCCTGGTTGACATTTTAAAGGGCTTCTAAGCATTTTATAATACCCTAAAATCTGGTTTTAATAAGCCATTCTGCTGAAATTGTTAACATAAGGAATCACCTTTTACTATTTGGCGCTAGATCAGGGAGATATGGGGACATCTTTTTCTGATTAGATATACAGTAGTTGGAGTAAAATGTGCAAATTCATTACAGATCCTGTTGAGGTGACAGACAGTATAGCTGACTCCAAACTCTCTGTTTTGCTGCCAGATATGGGGGAAAGCGAGGTCTGAGGCAGTGAGAAATGATGTTTCTGTTTCTTTACAGCATCACATTTGATTTTTTTCATTCTACCTGTGCAATAGAGAGGGATGTCCCAACATCTTCCTTCTTGACAGAAGCATTACAAAGGTCTTCCCTCAGTTGCAAAAAGCCAGTCTTTTGAAGTCAGCAGGAARCTGTCTGTTAACTGGCGCAGGGTGAGCAACTAGAAGCTCGTAGTTCAGCCAGGTATTAGGGTCTCCTTATTAGAAAGCCACAATTTTTCTTTCTCATTTTTCCAGCAGAACTGCTGCACATTGAGGTCAGAGAGCTCATTGTTGCAGAGAGCAGCTTAGAGGGAGTTCTCACCAATTGAGGGTCATTTTTTATAGTAAAATGAGAGGAGGTGCCCTTCTCAGCACTAGAGTTCTCTAGGGATTATGTTTGACACTGCAGTATTATGTTTTGAGCATAAAAATTAGATACACGGATTTGTCACTAAATTCATCTGTGCATACGTTTGTCATCCATCTGTTCATTGCAACTTAAACTTGTGGATAATGATTTTTTTTAGTAAATTGTTAAAAAAGTGCTAAAATGGGACTGCTGGACCCTATCAATTTAATAATGCATTGTTTAGATATTTTGGTAGATATTTTAATTAATTTCACTGAGAAMTCTACAAAAGATTGTAGAAAAAAAATTAAATTAGTTGCTAGCTTCAGAAATTCTCTTGGGATGTATAAGTGTGTGTATAGAAATGTATACACACACCTGCACATGATGCAAAGTGTTTGTGTATGTGAGAGTGTTTTTAAAATTTAAAATCAGCCTGATTCAGGTACTCAGATTGAAAAATGTCAGTCTAATGGACTGAAAGTTAGAGAATATTGCAAAGAGCTGAAAATTCTCGTCAGAGAAACTTGGYTTAGAATCAGCAGTAAGCAGAGCTCTGAACATGCACGTGTGTGACTGAGCACAAGTGTCTGGGCACGGGTGAGGGCACCTCTTTTTTTCCCTGCACTCAAATATTTGCCCTCTCCAGATGTGTTCACAGTCACACACAGCTCTGTGTGGGCATGGCTCTGACTGCCCTGGCTCGCTTTAGGGGCAGGAGCTGTGCTCGGTGSTGAAAAGTCTTTGAATTTGCCTCTTTTTCCTAAATACTTCATCCATGGGATCAGGGAGAATTGTGCAGGAGTGCTGCTTTGTCATTATGCATGCATCCAGGGAGGGGAATGGGCTCTTGCTTTCATAGTCAAGGAGCAAAGCCTTGCATACTTGACCCACTCAAAGCTTTCCAACACAGATGGTGAGCAGAAAGCTCACCCAAGAGTGTAAACCTTCCCTTAAAAAGAAAGATTTTTCAAGTTTCTACAATCACACCTTGTTTGGGCTTGGGTTTGGCACCGTGCATAGGTACGCTTGACTACTAGTGTGTATTTATAGATATAATATTAAAAAATTACAGATAAAGCTATTACAAGCATATTTTGTCCAAACAGAAGGCATTTTTTKGAAAGTTTTTATATGTTGATTGATGATGCTCATTCGTAACTTACCCTGAGGATGGAAATCCAAAGATTAGAGTTATATATCCTTCAAAATTGCAGATTAAGACTGTTCAGAGAAGTGATTGGATTATGTAAATTACTCAGAAAATAAGTGAAAATGATAAAATGTAAAGCACGAGTGTTTATCATCAGAAAACCTGCCCTTTTTTAAAATTTGTTTTGTCAGCATTGTTTGTTTAATTATGTGTGATACCTCAAAACATACTAGTAAATTATATTTAGTATATTTTGTAAAAACAGTAAAGTCATAGTAAGAGGAGGTATCACTGAAGAAGGCAGCTATTAAAAATTTGCTGTGAAGAGAGGTGAAACTGCCAGGATTTTTTTTGTATTTGAGTTTGCAGCTCAGGAAGAAAAAAATATAATGAATGACATTTATGTATAAATATTGTATGTGTAACTGTATGTACAAATATTATGCATCAAAATTTCACTTCTTATGGCCCTGATCCTGCAAAAACTTGTGTTGTTTGCCTAAATTCACCCACTACTTGCAGATCTTGTCACAGGAGGGGGTAGGAATCTTCCTGCCCAGATCTGACTGTAGATTTGCAGCAGTGAACTGGCACAGAAGAGAAACTGTGCTGGAATAGAGCATTTTTGTGGCAATTTTGCAACAGCTCACTTTAATTTCTACCTTTCTCTCCATCTGTCTGTCTCAAAATATGTGTGAGTCCCTACATTGCAAGTCCCTCCCTGCATATAAAGAAAAGGTCAAGATTTGTTTAAAGATTGAGGTGTTCAACTTTTCTATTAATAAATAAAAGTTGATGCAGCAAGAGGAAAAGTGGCTGGGGCTGTTTTTCTGGGACATTGGGACTTGAGCAGGTCTGTGATTAGATGACTCCAGATTTAGGCCAACTATTGGGATTTTCTTTGCTGAAACACCAGYGTGTCAGTGCCTACCAGGCAGAATTTGGGCATCCTCCAGAGCTCATTCACTCCACCCTGAATTCTTAACATCATTCAACACAGGCCCAGTCTATATTTCCATTTTATACAGCATTAGTTGGTGTGCAGTGTTTTGACAGTCTCCATGTGTTTATCWCTGTGTCATTCAGCCCCAAATCCAGGAAGTGCTACATGAGGAAAGTTGGTGTCACTGTCTCTAGCCACTTTCTTTGCCAGAAAAGGCTTGAACTGCTTTCTCTGGAGGAGACAAGGCAGCTGAGCAGGATTCTGGTGACAGTGGTGCCCTATCAGGAGTTTCAGTCCCAATCCTAGAAGCCATCCAGCCATGCAGTTATGGTGCTGGCCTAAGCTAATACTGTCATCAAACTGTTTCCTGTTCCAGAGCTAGCTGGGGGATCTCTGCATGTTAGGTGTTGTAAACAGCATGAAAAATGATGGTTTTGACTCCAAAGCAATGCTTGCTAAGAAGGGCATGTCCAATGCTCCTCTTCAGGACAAAGGCATTGTTGTTTCTGCATCACTTATCTCTGGGTGTGAGGTCAGGCTGTACCACAAACTGCAGCATGGAATAAAGATTCAAAAAGCAATGGGGAAAATGGTGACAATAATCAGGAGGAGGCTTTTGAGAGAATGGAACTGTTTTCTTTCCTGGGGAAGGGATAACTGTGCTTTGTCTACTGCAAGTCTTGGGGSTACAGTGGGATAAGACCGGCCTGAGTAATAGCATGAGCTGAGTACACTGTAAGTAACCATAAAAAGTGAAGAACAAGAGGAAGTCAAGTATGACATACGACATTATGAACCCATTAAATTGAGATGCTATTCAAACTTTATTCCAATGGGAAAATCAACAATTTTCAAAAAAAGTTTTCCTCCTAGGCCACAGGTTTCACAGCTCGCCCTATTCCTGTTATTTGAAATGTATCTTACTCTGAAACACTTCTATATTTCATGGAAAAATAAAATAGGGCAACTGATTCAAGAACTTTTACTTTCTGCTCCCGTATTATGTCCTTTAAGAAACACTAGTTTATAACTTTCAGTAGGTATTTGAAAACAATTGTAAAGTCTTCGTTATATCCCTGTCTCAAAAACCCACATTCACATAGGCAGAAAACAAGGCTGCCAGCARTGAAACCATAGTGCAGCTCTGGGGAGAGATGTGCCAGTACCCCTGTGCTTTTCCCTTCACGACACACAGTAAATTCTGTAAGTTGGGGCTGGCMGTGTTGGCCAGGACTTAGTCTTGGAGTTACAACCCCACCGACATATGGGATAGATTATGGCTTTTAGAGGCATTGCTTCAGGGTCTTTGCAGGCTCCTGTACCTGACTGCAAAACATTCACAGAAACATTCACAGTCAGTTCCTATTCTGCTTCTCACCAACCTGGGAGCCAGAAGGACTCTCTGGAATGGCAGGAATGATTATGCTGTGGGCATGTGCACATCCAGATTTGATGGCTCGGTCCATCCGTGCATCACAGTGACCAGACAGCAGCACATGGGGTGGAGCCTCCTCTGAACAGGAGGTGTAAACAGGCACATGGCCAAGGGGAAGTGTGGGGACACTACAGAGTGGATTTGGTGTGTCTGTCCCTCCAAAATGCACCTCCTTGTTTCTGAAACAAAGTGTCAGGCATTGCCCATCATCAGGATAATGGTTTTGCTGCCTACCTGAAAGGCATTATAAGGTGGATCAATTTCAGCAAAATATTGATCAAAACTCTCAGTGCCATCTCTCTCTGCATCTTGACCATACCCAGGAGGTTTATGAGTCAAATACAAACAAGTYCTGAACCCTATCTAGAAGCTCTGACAGATTTCCAGCCCAAAGCCTGGAAATAGCCTTAGGTGTCTTGTTCTGGGTGACCTACTTGTATCTCTGCCTTTCAGTGTTTGGGGATGAGTAGCAGCTCATCTTTTTTTTTTTTATTTTTATTTTTATTTTTTGTTTCCCTTGGTGACAGGATCTCGCTGGAAAGCTATGACAAACCTAGAGAAGCAGCCATACTATGAGGAGCAGGCCCGGCTCAGCAAACAGCACCTGGAGAAATACCCAGACTACAAATACAAGCCCCGGCCGAAGCGCACCTGCCTCGTGGATGGCAAGAAGCTGCGCATCGGCGAGTACAAGGCCATCATGCGCAACAGACGCCAGGAGATGAGGCAGTACTTCAATGTTGGGTATGGGACCTTGCAGAACTGCTGCTTATTTCATCGAAAACAAAAAATAAAAATCGGGGGGAATTCTTGATTCCGTGTGGTAAATGTTACAGTTTGTTGGCAAGAGCGTTAGATATTGCTAACAGAAAATGAGGCTTATACTTTATAACAATGTGTTCCAGGAGGAAGTCAGGCAGTTTTAGAAATCTTTTTGTTGGCTCTGCTTTGCACTCATCTTAAAGCCTCAGCCAACTGTCTCATTTCCACTCTGATCATGAAAAAAAAAAAAAAAAAAAAAAAAAAAGCTTTAAGGTTTTCCAATGAAACATAAGTCTTCTAGTAAAGCCTTATAACTATTATGAGGCCTCAGAGAGAATATCTGAATGAATGTGTGGTAGTGCCTCTTGATCCAAAAGATACAAAAATACAAGTTTGCATTTGGTATGATCTGTGGCAAGCGGTCAGCAGAAGGACTGCTGAACACACTGAACCTGAGCTGGAATATAGACTTGGCTCAATTAAATTATACCAAGTGTGATGTTATCGACATTGTTCATTTGTCCTACCTGGGAGTGTCTTACATTCCAACAAGTAAAATGCCTTGTGTTGAGCAGGAATTTTAAGAAGACCAGTTCTGATAAACAGYTAATAGATCAGTTTGATGTGATTAGAATAAAATCTGCCTAGAAGACTAGCATATATTTTCCTTCTGCAGGGATTCCTTGGYTTTGGTTACAGCAGATCAAAAAGAATCAGAAGTAATGAAATATTCCACAATGTTTCTGTATTCACTCCAGAAAATTAAAAGCTACACAGTGATCTTAAAAAAAAAAAACAAAACCAGCAACAAGAGCAACCCTCCAAAATAAAGGAATTTGTGTTCTGTTTCATCTGAATTTGGAATTCTTTTGATATTAACTGGGTTGCACATCTCTTTAGTCAATGGCTAGAAGTAGCAGTAAAGGAGAGAACATCTATCCAGTGGCTGTTAAGTGTCATCAGACTGTGTTTTAAACAGCTACAGTGTGCATTGTTATAATAAGCTGCTCAGCAGAGAAATTTGAGCTGCTTAACCCTGTGGTGCTGGCAGGTCCAGGGATCCCAGTGGTAAGCACTGAGACAAACACAGGGAAGTCGGCCAACATTCGGCATCAAGAGATTAAAAAAGAGGAGGGGGCCTTCTGGAAAAAGAATAGGTGGCAAAAGAGCCCTCAAAACACTGCTTATCTGGTTAACATGCATGCCTCATCATGGGGAAAAAAAATTAACCTTGTAATATTCCGCATACAGAAATTCAGCTTCCCAAACAAGGCTGACATTGAAATCAAGACATTTCTGGAGGTAATTTGCACTGGGGCACCAGAGCACAGAACCTGGGGTGAAATCTTTGTGGAAGCTGCTGACAGAGTGGCTGATGGCTGCAGTGGGGTTGGTGTGTGATGCCCCCAGTCACAGCACTGCAGTTGCATTCCTGGTTTAAGTTCCCCATCTGTTGCATCCACCAGTGCAGGTCATTTAGGGCTAAACTCCTAAACACCAGCCCATCTCCTGCCTGGGAGCCACAGTAAGTGCTTGGTTTAACAGGAGCCATGGCTGTGCTAAAGGCATCACAGTGGGAAGGATTGGGAATTTTTTAATGCTTCCCTATCTCAGTGCCCTCATCTTCAGTGGTAGCGCAGCAATYGTGGCCTGCTGAGAGCCCTAATACATTACTGTCTGAGGACTGCTGCAAGATCCTCTAGGCTGGACATCCCATAGAAGTGGAAAAATGCTATTCCTAAATAATTTAAATTTTGAAAAGCACTCTGAAAAGCACCATTTAAGTGCAAAGTGTTCCTATTGTTAAATATTAAAAGCAATTTAAGTGTGCTGAAYCTTGTTGCAGAAATGCTGACTCCAGAAAACAAAAGCCTTCCTATTGAATTAAGAATAAAATGCAAATTAGATCTGCTCCCTACTTTAAGAGCTGTATCTTCTGCTGAGACAACTTTGAGTTGTTTTAGATACGTGGCAATAAGGGCTCCGTGGAGGGAGGCCTTGCTTGGATGGCAGGCAGGAAGTATCTGAAAATGCAGCAAGCAATTCCAAACAAGTGYAAAGCTGTTTGGCAGGGGAAAGTCTTTCAGGATCACTGTGCTGTGTGAGGCTTACTGTGCAGCCAGGGCACAGGCAGGCAGGGAAACAGGGGAGGGTTTCATTCTTAATTAAGAATGTTCATCTCAAGAGGCTCTCCCCTGTCTCCTGTGGCAAGGCTTTTCAGTGCAGATGGACACACCGCTGATGACATTACAATGTGCAGCATGTACTGAAGAGTATTACTGCAATGGAATTACTTCATGCAGCAAGGAAACAAAAGGAGCATGAATTTTAAACCCCTAGGCTTGTTGGGACTCTGAAGCTTCTCAGGGAAACAAACACTAGTATAACGCAGCTAGTGTTCTTGATGCAAAGGGAATTTCTGTGGCCTGGAATAATTCTTCTTTCATTACTGCAGACAGGTTTCCAAGGCTTAGATGCTGTATAAAGGCRTCCTGTAGAGGATTTTCTCAAATGCTCATGTTGCTTGCTTGCTTTTTATTTATTTTTAAATAATGCCTGCYTCTGTTTTAAGTCTGCCTTTTCCAACAATTTTATCCACCTTCCTTCAAAGAATCTGCTTTTCACAAGGGCTACTCCCAGTGGAAACTAACACTTTCCAGAGGGAGGCCTTTAGTGATCCATCCTATAAACCCATGTTGGCTCCAGGAAGCTCAATGTTCCTCTCCCTAGACATGACCAGGTCCCTGAGTGAATGTGGAGTAAGCATTGTCTCTGCTTCCTCCTCATCCACTGGCATTTTCCTGCAGCACCTCGCCATTCCTGTGCAATCTCTGTAAATCTTGCTGCCTCTCTCCTGTTGACAATTTATGCCTTGTTACTTTGACTTTTGTGTCTAGTCCTGATAGCAGACTGGATTATTTAAGAGGAAGATTTTCAAAATAAGTGGGTGTTAAGTTGGACCACAATTGGCAAGAGTGTTTGTGATTGGCTGGCACCCAGCTGATCCAGAAGAGAAGTTTCCCTCACAAGCAGGAGACCTAAAGCTGTGTAGTTCAGGTACCACTAGAGGTGTTTGCAAAGGTTGGGTTTTCTTATCAGTGGAGTTAGTTTGGGCTTGATGTTCATTTGTGGAACATTGTTTGGTGACSTTTATATAAGGTGATATTGAAATAAGAGTTCCTCTGCATGCCCAAGAATAGATGCTGTTGAACTTGCCCTCCTTGCATTCCAACATCCTGTCACTCTTCTCTTCCTGTCAGGCAACAAGCACAGATCCCCATCGCCACGGCGGGCGTCGTGTACCCAGGAGCCATYGCCATGGCCGGGATGCCTTCCCCACACCTGCCCTCGGAGCACTCGAGCGTGTCCAGCAGCCCCGAGCCCGGCATGCCCGTCATCCAGAGCACTTACGGAATCAAGGGCGAGGAGCCGCACATCAAGGAGGAGATGCAGCCCGACGACGTCAACGGAGAGATCTACGATGAGTACGATGAGGAGGAGGACGACCCCGACGCGGACTATGGCAGTGACAGTGAAAATCACATTGCAGGGCAAGCCAACTGATCGGGGTCCCGATGGCTCATGACCTGCAGGACTTCAAGGAATAAAGAGAAAAGAGAAATAAAGCCCCATCTGGTTTATCCTTGCCAGTGGCCAAGCACATTAACTTTCTCATACACTGACTGTTACTTTAACTGTTAGTCTTAACTAGTTGGGACATCAGCTGACTAATAGACATCAGCCTGCATCAGAAGAAAAAAGGCTCAGAAGAAAGGAAACAAAGACAACGACAACAACAACAGAATGATATAAGCTATGGGTAAAATAATGCCAGTAATTCAGCTGCTATACCCAAGCACTGAAGTCTTACCCGTCGACCTTTTATTATTATTATTTTTTTTTCAAATAAACTTTATGGCTGTTTGTTCTACAATGTTCTAGAAATTCTCACTCAGGTACACAGTGCCAACAAGTGGCTTGTGAATGTGTTTTGTTGTTTTGTGCTACAGTTTAAAGAGAAATAATTTTTTTTTTTTGGTAATGCACCTGACAGGAAAAAAAAAAAAGATAAAATTCCTTTTAACCCCCCCTCTGTCTCCTCCTCCTCCTTCTTCTCCTCCTCCTCCTCCTCCTTCTCTTCCTCCCTGTCAAATCTGGGTCAGAAGTGTGTGTGTGTGCGTGCCTGTGCGCGTGGCTGGCAAGGAAGGAAGTGGGGAGTCTCTTTCTGTTCACCCCAACAAGCAATTATTTCCTTTCAAGAGAGGACTTCTCTTCATCAGTTGCACACCATACTGAGTCTTTGAGCAAGTGCCAAATTTGTACTAAAGCGCTGAACTAGTCCAATTTGCTTTTCTTTAGGTTGGTCTCTTCTTGTTTTGCTTTTCTTTGGCTTTTCTTTTGCTTCTTGCTCTGTCTTAAGTTAGGACAGTGTTGTATCTTAGACAATCCCTTGAAGAACCTGATATACCAGCAGCTGGTGAGATTAGACATATATTTTTGGTTTTGGTTTTGCTTTCTAAAGGAAACTGTAGGTGCCGTTCTCAGGTGAAAAAAAGAGAGAGAGAGAGACATAAAAAATTTAGAGAAAAAGTATTTTATGGTCTTGGATTTTCATGTGTGCGTGTTTATGGTACTAATAAGAATAATCTTGGACTATTGTGAGCAAAAAGCATGTTCCAGAATGAAGTTCTGCACCCTCCAAATGACTTGGTCTGTAAGGGGCCYTTACTTTCAGTTTACACTTCAAGTGGCAGCATAAACAGCATAAAAAAGGCTTGTCCAAAATGTGGTTTCCTCTGTACAGGGCACAGCAATTGGAAATGTTCCCTCTTCACTGAGCATAATTTAATTACCACCAACTGTGTCCAGTTCTGATGAACTTGTACCTTTAGGGCGGTTGAGTATTGAATTCTGATTCAAATGGCAATTTTTTTTTTTTTTAACTGAGGTTTTTTTCTCCTGCGCCTTGGCAAAAATCCTTCTTGTATCAGTGGAATATTGGAGGAGGAAGGAAGGCTAACAGCTTTGAAGAGATTTCCAAAGTCCAAGTGCAGATGTAAGAACCCGAACCGTTGTAGTTTCCTTCGCTGCTGCCTCTCACAATTGCAACATTATTCTCCTGTGCTGAAATATTTTCAATGTTGTTCTAGAGCACTTAAATACATTGCTTGGGCAGTTTTGTGTTCCTTGGATGACCATAACCAGATGAGGAGGGTGTCTGGGAGTTGCTCTGTGCCCTGGAATGGAAAGGCTTGGGATCTGCTGAGGCAAAAGCCTTCCTCTGAATTGGTTTTGTAACTGAGGATGCCCAAACTTATGTTGCTTCCTGGTAAATTCCTGCTCCCAAAGGGAGATTCATTGCTGCTGTTATCACCTGTAACATGTAAAATTAGGCTCATGCATGTCAGTGGCAGTGAGATCCCAGCCCAAATACTCACCAGAACCCTGGTCACCACTATTTGGCAACGCTGAATTTGCAAACAGTCCCTTAATCTGGCAGATTTAGCCCTTGGTGCAGTCACCCAGGTGCAGGATGAATGGGGCRGGTAGGAGTAGACTGGGAAAGGGGGGAATGCCTCTCCTTGCCTCTTGAAATCCCACTTGAAGTGTAACTTGACCTCTGCAGACCTTSTGCAAAGCAAACAAGCAAATGCCATTGAAGACATAGGACAATACTCCAATGAGCGGTTTGGACATGTGATAGTTTTACCCTGCAACATCTCTTTTATTTTTCTCCTGTTTTCCCTGTTTTGATTTCCACCTCTGCTTTGAAAAATCCTTTTCTATTTTCTCTCTCTCAGAAGATTTGCTCTGAAATTATGCTTGGAGTAGCTGATCATATCCTCCATGTCAGAGAGGGTTCTTTTTTGTTTGTATTTTATGACTGTGTTGGGTTGGGTTTTTTTTTTTTCCAGTTGAACTGCCTCTTCTTGCTAGTGTTGTAATGGTAATTATAATAATAATAATAATGGTCAGCTGTTCCCAGATTAGTAAATTATGTATAATTTATTTTACACCCCCCCTTTTTTAACTTTATTTTATTCTGTTCTAATTTGGCAGTGCAGCAAATGAAGCTGTTAGGCTATTTAAAATGGATACCCCTCCCCACCTTACCTTTTTATATATATATAAATATATATATATACATATGAAAACAAATCGCTTCTTCGTCAGCTCACGCCATTTCTCTTTCTTTTATTTTAATTTTGGCCCCAGCCATGTCAACTTCTGATGTTTATTATGATGGAGTGAATTAATGGGAGTGTTGTTTTCAATCTTAATTAACTTCTGCTCTCTCATCACTCATTTTAGTTATTTAATTACACCAGTCATTTAGAGCCAATTTTTTTGAAGCACTCTGTTTGGATAAGAAGGAAAAAAATAGACAATTGTTTTTATATCATTATTATGTACAATGTGAAAACAGATATTTGCTCCTTTTTTTTTTCTTTTTTTTAACTTTTAAATTTGTTCCCTGTCTTTGTGAACAAATTACTTCTGATTCTTGTGGGTTCACCTCACATTTGCTGGATGCTTGATTTCCACCACGTAATAGAGACTCTCTGGTTTAATCGTGTCACTTCGGGCTACCAGAATACTTTGTTTTAGCTCCAGGTAGGTGCCACTGTGGCAGGTGGGATTGGAGCAAGTCTTGGAGGTGTGGGCTGGGAAAGGTCGGTGGGAAGGAGGCCCTTGGACTTCAGTGGGACCAAGTTTCAGCACTGAATTCTGCAGGAGCCGCTCCTCGAGGCAGCCTGGTGGGACGGAGCCCTTCTCCGAATATCCTGTTCATTTCCTGCCACCTCGGCCAGGGCTCAGCTGAACAAGTTGATTTTGTTCCGTGCACATTCCCATCGGAGAGACTGTGCCCCGGCCTGGCCTTTGGGAACGGGGAGCATTAACAGACTGTCCACCTCCTCTACATTTGGGAACTTGAAACCAATGCAGAAATGTAAAAAAGAAAAAGCAAAATAAGGCCAAAATATGAAAACATAATTTTTTAAAAAAAGGCTCTGGGGTTCCAAACCAGCAAAATACTTAATGTCTGTGCTGATGTTTTCTTGGGTCCAAGGATGAGCACCCATATATCCTTCAGCAGTAAAAGACCGGATTTGAAAATCAGGCACTGTTTGTCCCTCTTCAATTTCTTGGGGGAAAAAGACCTAAGAAAAACCAACAAGGCAAAACATGCATTTATAAAAATATCTTCTTGTCTTGTTTCTTTTTTTTTTTTTTTTCCTGGGTTCTGTGCCCTGGAGCATATAGAAAAACCAGGTTAGAAGAGATTAGGATCGCATTAACCTAAAAGCTCATTGAGGCCCTAATGCTGAGGTGGGCTCTGCTCCTCTCTTCCCTGGGAACCTGGTGAACCAGGATGCTCCTGGTGAGCTTCCTGGGGTGGGGTGCACAGAMCACCTCCTCCTCAATGTGGGGAGCCACTGAGCATCTTGTGAGCTGGAGAAAGGRCACCACTAGCAGTGGGGAAAAGGGGAAAAGAAAGGAAAAAAACTGAGTAACTTGCTTCTAAGCTCAATTAAATAACACAGAGTATATCCTTTTTTCAATTTATTCATGCCTTATATTAGTAAAATAGGATTTTTAAGTGCATTTAACATCTTTATTTAACCGTTCCGCTATATTAATCAGGCCCCCAGAAAAGAACACTAGCTATTATTATAGCATTTAATTAGTTTTGTAACCAAATCCTCTTATTACGAATGCATATGGAAGAAATTCTTTCTTCGAAGACATTATTTCAAAGATTTGGTTACTGCAGTAGACTGTCTTTAATTAAATCATTTTTTAGAAAGTAAATTGTCTTTAACCTTTTTACAGCACATTTTCAGAGCTTTTTCTTTTTAATCCAAAGAGATGAGCTGTTATTGTCCCCGAAGAAGCCTCTGACATCACGTTCGTARCATCAAAAATAATTATACTCCGTGGAAACGTAGATCTTCCTTAGCAAGAATTCATCTGCTGTAAAGAACGGCAACCGTGTGGTATCTCGGACATTTCAGGGCATGGCGTATGGGATAGGAAGTTTTTTGTCTGCCCACTTCTCGGTAGAACCATCCCTTCCATTTTGCAAATAACTGTGTAATTCACTAGACGTGGATTCAAGTGTATCCTCAATTCACAGGGCATGGGCTGGCTGTTTAGCTTGGTTTATATTTACATTTTTTCAACTTTATCTTAACTTGTCAGTTTCCCAGATTGAAGAACATGTCAAGTTCGTTTTTTCTACTGACTGATTTCTCTACTCCCCAGTGTTTTTTGTCACTGGTTTGCTGAAACAGTATTTATATAGCTCCATTGGCTCTAAAGCTCTTACTCCTTCTAACGTTTTGGATTTTACAAGTGAAATGAAAATAGAAAAGAAATAGAGACAATCAAATGCCTGGAGCTTAAAACAAAGTATGTGCAACCTACCATCTCACTTGAAATTTAATAAAAGAAATAATTATGTAAATATAACATAGAGTTATAGATTTATATTTTGTTCATAACACATAGTGTAATATAAGTTGTATATTTTCATGTTTTGGTTTTATGTTATCATTCATGCCACAATAAATGAAAAAAAACAGGAGTTGATGTACTCTTTAAAAAAAATACAATGTGGGTTGCCACCATCCTGGGTTTTTGGTTTTGGTTTTTTGTTTCTTTTGCATTCCCCTTTTTCAGTATTATTGCCCTGCAAGGCACCAATAAAACAGCAAATGTGTTCTTTACCTATTCTGTGGTCTGTTTCCCACTTCTTATAGCAAAGGGTCTGCTAACAAATTTTCCTGTCAGGAGAACAAAACAGCTGGACTCAAGAGCAGAAAATGAGATTTAGATTCAGCTTTCTAGTCTGCTCCAAGATTCAAGGTTTTCATCAAATCACAGGGGTAAAAAAAAAAAAAACACCCCATCTTTCAAATATTAGCATTAAAACAGAAGGAAAAATTGGTCCCTGAACAATGAGGTACAGTGCAATTTCAAGTCCATTGTCAGGACAACAAAAGGATGGCTGAATGCAGAGGTTTGGCCCGTGCCCACCTTCCCAAGCTGTGTTCTGTTTCCATAGGCTCATCTGCTCAGAGACCAAAGCATGCTCAGGGAAATACCCAATTATAAACACCGATGACACAAAGCTCTGAAAAAAAATAGCTCTGCTCATAGTTAGTCAAAATGTCCCAACATGCTGCCTAAACAGTTCATGAAGTTTTGACAGCAGCATATGGCACAAAGTGGGATGAAATGAATTTGTACCTGTTTTTGACAGTAAGTTATTCTGATGGGTGCTTACTCTCAAGTGCCTACGGCTTGACAGATGCCACTCTACGGTTCCAGATTTCCTAAAGGGAAAAGGCAATATTTGGGAAAGCAGGAGGTAGCTGGTGGAGATCCTGTGAACCTGTCCCCACTATTTTGGCTTGCCAGGTTGTTCTCTGTGCTCTTCCTGTAAGTGGGGTGGCACCTGAAACATCCCACAGGCAAACCAGAGGTCTGCTCTGGCAGCTTCCCAGTCCAGCCCAGAGCACCTGCAGAGCACCTGTCCAGTGGGAGTGGAAATGGGCCTGAGAAAAACCATGATGGTGATGGTGGCTYAGGCCAGTAAAGGTCAGAATCATTTAACCCCATAAAACCCCATAAAACCCCTTTTTCCAGTACTGTTAGCAGCATGTGATGAAGGGGCATCTCTTTGGGGCTTACATGGCACACACTGCCCACCTGGACCTGGGCAGGACTGAACTGGTGAGGCCTTTTCACCACCCCTTT